TTTTTTTTTTTTTTTTTTTTTTTTTTTTAGGGGCCCTGCAGGCTGGATAGAATGGCTTGGCGGGCTGCATCCGGCCCCCAGGCCGCATTTTGCCCACCCCTGATCTAGGGAAAGCAGATGAATGCAACCTTAACGTTCATTTTTCTTTTGGTCTCTAGTAAGCCTATCAAAAAGATCCTTTTAATAAACAGACTCCAATGCAGTTATAGAAGGATCATCAGCACAGATATGGAATACTTCATTGAGGGGATAGCAAACCCCCCCCCCCCAACCCAAAACATTACAGTATTATTAAACATCTACAAAAGAGAGGAAGGTAGAACAGTTTTGTAGGTACTTTTATGACCTAGATTAGCTGTAGTCACAGTTTAGCAGCTCCCATTCATAAATCTGAGAGATCATTCTCCAGTTGAAAATTCTCTCGAAATAATTCGCTTTAATCTACCAGGCTCTTGGGCAAATAATTGTTTTAGCTGATGGATTAGATTTTTACTGCTTATTTTCATTAGAAGGAAGAATAGGACATGTCCGTGAATCCATGTTTTTCTTTATTGAAATGAGAGCCCAGTGTTATCACACGGAAATACCATCCTAACATGACACTTGGCAAAGATTATTGCTTCCGGCATTACTTCCAAGTGATATATTTGGTTCTCAGTAGCTTCTTCAGTATGGTTGACCTGCCGTGCGTGCATGGAAGAATGTTCAGTGTTTAAAAGAAGAGAAAGACATAATTCATAAACATGTTTGTGATCCTCTGTCGATTTTTCACTTGGTTTTTTTCTTGCCTACTGTAAATATCCTTTTTAAAATAAATGTTTCAAATAAAATTGATTACAAGATCTTCATTTTCCTATCATTATGTAGCTTCTGTCCATTATTTAAAAGCCTCAAGGTTCTAAGTAGGGATGTGAATGGTTAAATATTTAACTGTTCATATATTGATAAATTAACCAGTAATGCCTTATTGCTTATCATTTAGCGTGAGGTGGAGAAAGAGAAGTGGCATGGTGTCCCTGAAGGCAACAGGGCAGGCAGGCAGGAGGGAGGGAGGAACAAGGTGGGGAGGGGAACCTAGTACAGCAGGGGAACAGCAAGGGGCCTGATCCTTCTTGGGGCAGTACAGCTCTGGCCATTTCCTTGCCATCTGCCCCAAGGTTGCCCATGCACCAGCTTC